ATAGGGACAGATTCTCCTTCACATTATTAATACACCGAGATAATTACAGGTCTCCTGATAAAATCTCCCGACCAAAAATTGATTTAGGGATGGCTGGGAATACAGGTCAAGCTGCCCTCTGATATAATGTCCCTAGAAACTTGGGGAACATTGTCACTCACCAGGCCATCCCACAAGAAGACATGGGTGCCTGCTGGACCCTTCCAACTCGACCAGTCATAAGGTCAGTTGAGAGAGGTGCGGGGAGAGGCACAGCAAAGATTAGGAGGTAGGAACACAAAATGCATAGACCCAGGCTTGGTAATTCAAGTTGTAGAATCTGACAGGATTAGACAGTGAAAAAAAGGGTAAAGGTAGCAGGCAGCTTTCTAGACCAGGGGCTCTTCAAATGGGGTTTGTGGCTAGAATTCAAGGATCTGTGAACTTGGCTGGGGAAAAAGAACTACACTTTTAATTTAACAACTTCTAACTGTAACCTAACATTTGCTTCAGTCTTGAATGTAGATAAACCACAGTAGTGTAAGTGGACCCGAGGCTTTTCCACCAATGGAAAGCAGATATTTTCATCATGTTATGATTTTTGCAGCTACCTCAAAATAGTGTTTATAATTTTCATGAATTATTTATTAGATCTGCCTTTAGATTTTATTTAATGTATGTATGACCTTATTGCAAGTTAAAAATATTTTGGTTATATATATATAAACTAGTTTCTTTTATAATCTTATACACTTTACTTTGTTCATTTTAAAACATCATTCTGGGAAGGGGCCCGTGAGTATAACCCACAGTGCCAAAGGGGCCCATAGCACGAGGAAGGGTAATGATTGCTGCAGTGGCTTTCACATTTAAAAGAGAATAAACTTCTGGAAACTTAAATGTAAGAGCAGAATGAAATGGAAAAGCCTTAGGAACATAGTTCAGAGGTACTTGCACATATAAAGGAGAATTTTAGGAACATATTGCTTAAATCAGATTAAAATTCTAATGGTGCCACCTCAGGAATTTGTGAAAAGCTCTTTTAGAAGAACTTCAATATCCCTGTAAAAAATGCCACATTAGGCCAGCACCCACTCTGCAGGCAAATGGCCAAATGCGGACAACATGACCAAAGCTCACTGTCAGTGCCAATGGGATTAGAAGGATGACAAATGAATGTCATGAGGATGGGGCTTCTGAATCATCCCCACCAGAGCCACTTGAGGTTTCCCCTATGTGTGCATCTCAGCCTTTTCTTGCAGGGGGGGCGGTGTGGTGGAGACACCAGATTTCCCCTTGATTCCAGCAGGCACTGGGGGAACAGCCTGCACCCCCAAGAGTCTTCAGCTGACTGAGCTGGGGAAACACAGTGGGAGGGCACCAGGAGCTCCCCTTTAGTCAACCCCCAGTTAACCCCCAAGTTTCCTCTCTCCAGTCAACCTCCAAGTCTCCTCTCTCCTCTTCCAGCATGTGCAAACAAAAACAAGGCCAGCCTTCCAAAGTTTGGCTAGAACATTCTGTGAAGGATTATTTTCCTGACTGCAGGTAACAACTTATTACTGGGTCAGAAAATCAATTTAGTGGATCACAGCAAGCATTAAAAAAACAGAATAGAAAATAGCATGTGTCATACCCAGATTAAGTATTACCTTGTGGAACTGGTTTTCATTTTATAAATGTGTATATATGTAAGGACTGTGTGGTGATTTGTTTCTTGCTATAGATCACAGCTGAAAGTTTGAAAAACAGTGTGGTCACGATGCCCCTGTTTTCCCATAGAGAAATCACAGCAATGGGGCGAGAGTGTTTCCTAAAGTGATTGATTTAATTCAAGGACTTCATCATTGTTTTAATGAATATTGGGAAAAAACTGAGGCTTTTCTGCCAATGGAAACTGGCTGTTTTCATTATGTTACACACACCAAACCCATGAGAATCCTCTCTATTGCTTAGTTCTAGGCTCCAAGGACCGCATTTTACAGAGAGCTCATTAGTCAGCTGTTGGGACAGAAGCTTGGTGGCCACTCTGTGGTGGGAATGCAATGAGGGACACAACAGTCATGGAACAGGTTTGCAAGGCAAGACTCTGCTACTTGAGCAGAAGTTTTTGTGTCATTTATTGAAAGTATACAGGCTAGTAAAAGCTGATCATGTGACAATGCTATGAGGGATAAGGTCCATGGGCCAAGGGGGACAAAGTTTCATGAGGAACAGAGAAGGCGCATTGTGACCATATGTCAAGAAACATCTGTATCAGCAAAGTATTTGATGTTATTATTGGCAGTGTTATCCTGAGACCACCCTAGAGGTAGTTACATAACCAGGTCAACAGCAGCCTTGGCATTCCCAGGCCTGCCTCATGATATGGGCTATTCTCCATAGGTAGTCAAGGAATGCTCTGCTGTGATTTGCAGATAGCAAATAGGTCACAGTTGTCCATGAAAGGTCAACTTATAGGAGCCCACAGTCAGTGAGACATGCTTGGATATATGTAGCCAAGTGTGCAGGGGCTATGTGAATGGCCAAATATCAGGAAAAACTGAGATGGAGAAGAAATGAAGTAAGTGGAATATAAAGGAGTAGGTAGGCTTTGAGGGGAGCACTTCAGATCCTCAGCCCTTACTTCATTTATTGAAACTTACTTTTTAATCTTTAAAATGGGGGTAGTTATTCCAGGCTGACTTAATACCAGGACACTGGCTTCCTGATCATATGAGAAAATGTGGAGGTGAGTTATGTTGGGATATTGTGATTAATAAGAAATAGATATTTGGTCATTCAGATAACCAAAATATATTTCTCATACATTTTGTTTTTATCCACAGTTCCAGACTAACAGCTTTCCCCAAAGACTTGGTGTTAAAGTGTTAAAGCGATATTGTTATGTTATGTTAAGGAGCTGACTTTTGGGGAAGTTTCTAAGGATAGGGACTGGGTGACAGGGGAGCCAACATGAATAGAGGGTTGAACCTTCTAGTCCCACTGCCAGGCCTTCAGAGAAAGGAGGGGTCTGGAGATTGAGGTCAACAGTCAATGAGAAAATCAGTCATGTGTATGTAATGAAGCCCCCATAAAAACCCAGGAGGAGGGGCTTCAGAGAATGTCCCAGTTGGCGAACTTGGAGATTTGGGGAGAATGGGACCCCTGGAGAGAGCATGTAAACTTTGTACTTTTCTCCATATGTTGCTGTTCCTGAGTATATCCTTTGTATAGATTGGTGACTGTAGGGTAAGGAAAAATGTCAGGCTTTTCTGCCCTCCCGCCATCAGGATAGATGATGGATCCTTGTCCTGAATGCATGCCTGATGGTGGCACCTGGAATTAGGGTGGGGGCATAGGTAGATGGGATTCACTGGGCTAAGACTGGGCTTTTAAGCTAAGATGGCATCATGAGGACACCAGTAGAAGCCGAAAAAGAAGCCAAGTATGAACAGAAGCCGAAAGAGAAGCTGAGAGAGAAGCAAGAGAAGCAGAATCTGAGAGAAGGCCGGAAAGCCCAGAGTGAAGACCTGCTGGGGGCTGGGAGGCCTGCCAGCCTACCAGCCCCCCAGTGCCCCTGCCTGCTGTGTACCTGGTAATCCCAATAAAACCCTGCAAGACCACTGAGGACTCTGACTCCTCTCTTACCCGGTATGCTGGATCATAGAAAACCTGCACTGTGGTCTTCCTGCCGCTACAGTGATATAGTGAGTAAACTCAGGTGATCTCAGGTGATCAGAACTCAGGTGATCTCCTGAGAAAAACCCTCCTCAGAGGGAAATTACCCTCTGAGGATCATGAGAACCTCTGATTTATAGACAGTTGGCCTGAAGCACAGATATTAGACTGGGTTTACCACTGGGTACCTGAAATCTGAGCAGAGGATCTTGGGAACCTCCATTCTGTAGTTGGTTGGCAAGAATCCCAAGTGTGAGCCTGGACTTGCAGCCAGTGTCTTAAGTGGAGGGTAATCTTGGGAGACTGAGCCCATTACCTATGGAATCTGGAGCCATCTCCAGGGAACTTCTCACCATCAGAGAATTAATTATTGGTGTGGGGAGACCTATCCTGTAAACTCATTGCAAATTGACCTCAGAATATCAACACCACGGCTAAGTAAAGTACAAAATGCATCAGGAATTATTACTATCAACAGGGGAAGGCAATTTTCTCCTTCATGGACCAGAGATAGCTAGCAAATTTTTGAACTGTTTGTATTACAATAAGAAAGAGTATGGGCTCCAGACAAACAGTCCTCTTCCTACTCTAGCTTCTTCCAATAGCAATTCCAGCTGGGGATGCAGAGGTGCCATGCTAGATGCCAACAGAGCACAATGCACACACTGCCTGTGATGTGAAGATTACAAGAATAATGATCCTGCCCTGAGCCAGTTGTTCCCCCACAAGCAATTTGTTACTCTTTTCCTGTGTGAATGGCCTTCCTTATCTCTGGTATTGGCTGCAGAGCCCTCAAAGAGAAGGGTCCTGATGAATAGATCATCAAACCTATGCCACCTGGTCCCTGCTGTGCAATTAGCCTCTGGGTTATCATCTGCAAGGCTGCTGGTCTTGCAGGAAGCCAGGAAGAGGAGGAACAAAACAACAAGAAGAATGGGAAGGAGTGGAGGGCAAGAGGTGTAGAAAACAGCCTGTTTCCCACAAGAAAGAGGATAAGACAGTGCTATGCACTTAAACAAATGCAAATGTTGAAATCCTAACCTCCAAGACTTCAGAATGTGACTGTATTTGGAGATGGCATTTTTAAAGAGATGATTAACTTAAAAATGAGGTCATTATGTTGGGCCTTAATTCATTATGACTGGTGTTCTTATAAAAAAAGGAAATTGAACCCAGACAGAGAGCAGATACAGGGAGAAGATGATCACTTACAAGTCCAGGAGACATGACTCCGAGGAAACCAGTCCCTTGGACACCTTGATCTCAGACTTCCAGCCTCCAGAATTGTGATGCAACAGATTTCTGCTGTTTAGGTCACCCAGTCTGTGATATTTTGTTATGGAAACCTGAGCAAACAAATATAGATGGCAACTTCAACAGTCAAGGCAGGATGGACACTGAAAGATGGGACATGGGCTGCAAATCAAATGGTGGTCTCCAGGAAGTTAAGAGCCAGTGTATGTGGAGCAGGCAGGCCGAGGAGTGAAGATGACCCAGTGTTAAGAGCCTGTGATTAGTAACTATATGGTCTTGACTTACATACATAGTCTGTTGAGACTGGAAAAGGATGTTATTACTTCTGTGGTTCTAAGTGTGGTGACAATATCAGTGGCATAGGCATCACCTGGAAACTAATTAGAAATGCAAATTTTCAGGTTTTTCCCTAGACCCACTGAATCAGAAGCTCTGGAGTTGGGGCCCAGCAATCTGGGTCATCTTTATCAAGATTTCTGGGTGATTCTGATGTATACTTGTGTTTGAGAACCACTGCTTTACACAAACATTTTGATGATTAACTGGAAGAGTTGGGGAGATCATATCATACAGAGTAGAGGTGAGGGAAGTTATTGCCATGGGATTTTGATCCATTTGAAATATCAAGTGGTAGGGGAAACCAGTTCACACCCACAACCCAAGTTGCTCTTGTGTCAATCAGAAGCAAGAGAGCTGGAGTCACCCCAGGATCTTATGTAGCCCTTGGCTCATTCTAAAACCCCTCCATTCTTTCCTTTTCCAGTCCCTTTCCTGATCAAATCTTCACCCATTATTGATGTAGTCTTACATAATGATGCTGGTGCCTCTACAGTTTATAAACTCAGAGAAAGTGGGGGCTGGGGGCACAGAAAGGAAGTCAAAAGAGAGCTAGAAGTTATGATTTAAGGTGTGTCTATATTATGCTAAGCATTGTAAAGTGACTTTCAGAGGTGACTTTAAGTGGCTCAATAAATGTTATTTTCTTCCTCCTTCCCTTTCATTATCTAACAGCTAGAAGCATACCAGGGCATTAGGAGCCGAGGCAATGCCTCTAAAACCACGGTGGGTCTCTTTAATGGGACAAAAATGACTAATGTCAGTCAAAACATTTGTAAACATGGTTCTTTTTCTTAGTCTCAATTTTAAAGAGGTTAGGACATAAAGGTAAACTATTTGAAGTAGGCATCTTTATGTACAGCTGAAACAATGCCATTCTAGAAGGTAGCCTTCTGACATTCTAGCTGGATTCAGAGATCCTGGAAGAACAACTATTTTGAATGTCCTTTTCATCTTCCCAGATAGAAGGAATATGTGTAAGTCCTGACTGGAGTGCCCTGTCCTCCATCACCAGTGATGCCCATTGAGTGTGTATAGCACTAGAGAGAACATCAGAGTTTGAGGACTCTGACAAAAGTCTGAAAAGAGACCCATCCTTGAAACATAGGTAACTAACCTGGTCTCTCTCTGTGATCATTGGCACCCTGGTTCACATTCATTTCTTCCTAACTCTTCCTGGAGTTGGATTCTAACAAAAGGCACATTAGTGATAAAAATAGCCAGCACTTAAAAGACATTTAGTAAGAGTTTAGAGTTCACTACTCTATGTATTTGACAACATACTTAACCAAATTGTTAGTGAGTTAAACAACTTGCTTAAACCACGCAGTTACTAAGTAACCAAATCAAACATAGAACTTATGTTTTATGCTAGCTCTCAAGCAGTAAGCCATGACACAGAGTGATGTTCATCGAGGAAAACTGGAGATAGAAAGAGAAGACACATCGAATGGCTGTGAGAACTAAAGGTACAGCCAATTAGCAGATGGTAGTATTATCCACCAGGTTGTACTGGTGTGATGCTACAAGCAGAAGCTGTTGGGAAGACAGACCATTTGGAAAGGGGCAGATTGGGAGACCTCAAAGACTGTACTAAATATTGAGACAGAAGTCAACAAAATGAAGTTTCAAACTGAGCCGGGAAACAGCTGAGCCATGAAAAGGTGCAGAAGACATGAACCTCATAAATGATGAAGTCTACTGGACTGGTTATTTTTATCACCATCAATTTTTGTACAAAAAATGCAGCTATTCAGGCCTTCATTACATGCTTTTTTTCCTCCTGGTTACTGATGGTCTTGACTCCTCTTATCATGAACTGTTCCCTCCCCTCCCTCCTTTCCCAGACCCTCACTCCATTGTTCAAGTTCCTACATTCTACACTTCCACTCCAGCATCCTTCAAGCCTGGTGTGGGCTGTGCCCTCACAGATGTACCAAGCAGCACAGTGTTCTCCTAGCTTCACCATGGCTCCCAGAACACTTTGTCCTGCCTTCAGGGCATGAGGGCAGCCCTTTGCTGGTACCCTGCTTGCGTCTCCTCTTGTGTGGTTAATGGGATCTTGGTCCATTGAGCACTTTGACACCCACTGAAAAATTCCCTGCCCCAGCTTATGAACTTGCCCATTTTTCTCATGACCCACATCAAAACCATCCTGGGGCCTCTCCCTAAGGTCATCAACTTTTTAATTCTCAAAGTAGATCTTTATTTCTTAGCTTTCACTCAAGTCTTCATTTTATTGTTCGGCATAATCAAGCCACAGTTCCTCATCACCCCACTAAAACTGTTCTTTACCTAAAGTTACCAATAATCTCCTAATAGTAACATTCAATTCTCCTCCTATTCCCACAGGTCCATGCTGCTTCACTTGATCTGCCGGCCACTCCTCTTTTCTGCAAACTTTGGCTCGAGCAATCACACCCTGTGCTTTATTATTTCTTTGTCGTTTCTTCTTTCATGATCTCAGACCTTAGGGACTCTAGGAATTTTAAGCACCTGTGACAGTGGTGCATTGCGCAGCTCTAAATGGTGCTGTGCTTGCTCCTCCTGCTGTTCACCACTTCCCATGAGGCTTGTAGACTTATCCTTTTCCTGTATTCCCCACTGAGCCTGGCAATGTGGACTTTCAGTTGTGAAATGAGGAAAGCTGAAAGGAAATGGGAAGGGACAAGAGAATGATCCATGTAAATGACCCTCTTGTTCAGATTTCAACTCTCTCTCAAGATGCTCCGGGAGAACAGAATGTGTTCATTCGCCCTGGTAAACAACATGGTAGTAAATTACTCTGAATACTGACTTCTCTATAGCTGCTATCATCTCTTGACTGACATGACCTCCTGTGTGCCTTAGAACAGCATCAAAATATTCCTTGAAAATTTTGAGAAACTTGAGAGGGAGTTATGGAAACAAAAGGTCTGGGATCAGCCAGTCCTCACCAAATTCTCTCCAGGCCCCTTTCTGTTCTTCTTTTCCAGCCAGAGGAGCTCACCACAGATCTGGTTCTATGATCCTAACTGGCATCTTGCACTCTTCTAGATCTTGCACTCCACATGCCCCATCTCACAGTGACTCTGTCTCTCCTGCTTCCACCCAGTGTGCCTATGCAAAAGCCCATCAGAAATAATTTCCATCACATTCAAGGATCCTCAGTGACTGCCCAGGGGAGAAGAAAACCTTTACTTTTGTTAAATCGGTGTTGGGAAACATCAATTTTTTTTTTAAAGCATCAATGTTTTAAAAATTCCCTCTAACAGAATAGAACAAATTGTTCAGTCACTGTCCATAGAGGAATTTCTGTTTGAACAAATATTTCCTGGAAATGTTTGAACCAATAGCATCATCTCTGGTAGCTTAAGTGATAAAGGACAAAGATGAGAAACTATGGGAAAAGATTTTCTGGAATGCATTTGTACCTTGAGGGTAGATATCTCTTTGATATTTTATAAATCATGACTGTCTCCAACTTGTTTATATTCAGGTTCTGTTCTTATTCCTGGTCCTTCCAAGATTGCCTCTGCTAGCTAGGAGTTTTCCTCTCCCTCAAATACATGACCCTCTTATTCAGTAGGACAGGAGGCCCTGGCAGGACAGAAGAAAAAACAGGACCTCAAGAGCTTTGACATTTGTCTGTGACTTTCTCTTTACTACCCCCTGAACTTCCTTGTCTGCAGTCTCTCTACTGCCTTCTGCAGAGAGAAACGTTTCGATACCCTTTTCTCTTTACAAATTAACACAGAAATTCTGCTGACAAGTCTTACCCTTTCCAAGGTTTAAATCCCAGGGCTCTTGAGCTGTGACAATTTAAATGAGCAAGATTTTGAAAAACTGATGAGTGAGGTTTTAAATGTCTCGTAGTAGCCAAATCCTCCTTAAAGACTTCTGTAGGACAAAGAAGTTGGTGAGTAGTTGCCTGTGGTAGTGTGTATGTGTACCTGCAGAGATGGCAGGGAAGCAATCTCTGTAGAGTAATTACAAACCAAAAATCTGGAAGAGTCCTTAGGAACTAATCCACCCACAAGCACATTTTAAGGATGAATAAAATGGAGCTGAGGAAGGATTTGTTACTTGTGCGAAATCATAGTGTCAATTGTAATTTAGAATTCCTGGCTCAAATCTAGTACTGACCCTGATTTCATAAAGCAATTATTTTTATTTCAACAGAATATGTAATGACTATCAGGTACTGATCAAAAAGATCCTCAGCTCACTGTGAAAAGAATGGTCCAGCATCAACCCAAATCTATTTAGTACATTCACCTGATCTACTTGCTGCCTTTTGCTGTTCTACTTGATGGTTTCTAGTGACTATATCTTTGTCTCCTTCACCTTGCAGAAGTTAAACCTACTATAAAAGGTCCATATTATTTCAGGATAAATTTAACTTTTATTACAAGCAAGAGAATAGATGTAAATGTGGAGAAGCTCTCAAGCCATTTACTGTAATTGCACAGAGAAGTGAAAATCACTTAGTCACTTCCACTTCTGGACAAGATGGAGTAGACAAACTTTCCCCCTACTTTTCCCACAAATACAACCAAACAATCTGGATTTTACATGTAAAGAACAAGAATTTTCTGAAAGGAGAGAATATAAGGCTGACCAACTAGGAAATGCTGAACTCCAGGAACAAAATGATGGTGATTTCCCTGTGTTTTCTTTTTGCCTTCTATATCCCCAACATGGACTAGGACAAACCATCAATCTGGAAATGTCAATAAGCACAGGCATCAAAAAAGTCCCAAGAAAAGCTGGCTATTTCTAGCCAAAGTACCAAGAAAGGGGTGACCTAACTACAGAACACATTTAAACAATCACTATCCAACTTCAGCGAGGAATGAAACAGCAGGTATCACTGCCAGCACCTCCAGACAGCAAAGAACAATAGGAGAACACTACAAACAACTCTACACTTGTTAATTTGATAATTTAGGTGCAATGAATCAATTCCTCACAAAGCACAACCTACTATAATTGACCCCCCAAAAAAATAGATAATTTGAATAGCCCATCACTATAAAGGAAATTAACTTTGTAAGCTAGAACCTCCCTCTAAAGAAGTCTCTAGACACAAATGGTTTTTATTGGCAGATTCTGCCAAATGTTTTAAAGAATTAATACCAGTTCTACACAATCTCTTCTGGAAAATAGAAGAGGAGGGATACTTTTCAATTCATTTAAGAACTTAATGTTACCTTGATACTAGGATCAAAGAGAGGATCAAAAATCAACTAACCAACCACCAAACAAAAGAAATTAAAGTCAGAATTCTTCCTGAATAGAGGTGCAAAAATTCTTAACCAATTATAGGCAAATAGATTTCAGCAAAATATTAAAAAAACCCTCAAAATATCACATAATATATGATTTCATTTATACAACATTTTCAGAATGACAAAATTATAGAGACAGAACAAATCAGTGGTTATCAAGGGCTCGGGATGTGGTAATGGTGGTAGGGGTGTGACTATAAAGGCTAGCATGGGGGAGATCTTGGCATCAATGAATTAGTTCTACATTTTGACCGAGGTTAGGGTTACACAAATCTATAGAGGTTTTAAAATGACATAAAACTATATCCACATTGAACCAATGTGTTTCCTGGTTTTCTTACTGTATTATAGTTATGAATGATATAACCGTTGTGGGAAATTGGGAGAAGAATATTTGATAATCTGCAGTCTTTGCAAATTCCTATGGATCAATGGTTACTTAAAAATAAAGAGTTTGAGAATATCTTAAGCCATATCTCAGCCATCAGACTTAAGGTATTAGGCTTTACACTCTCTCTGGCCAGGTTTCCATGTGTACAACACTGCTTTTTCAAGCAGTGAACGGGGACAGGCCAGTTCCCACAAAGCATTTGATCAAATCTTAATACTTGTAGTTGCTCTTTCCAATTATAAATTAAAACTCTGTCCTAAATTCAGTCTTTCCTGTCTCACTTTGGTCTGTTTTAATATCTGGAAAAGGTAGTTAGCATCAGCCTTGTTTGCTGGGTATCTTTAGTCCTGTTCCCAGAAATATCCTTAATCTCAATTCAGGGTTCAGATGGCTGGCTCTGAAGTTTCATTTGTGAGTTTGGAAGGTAAACGAAAACCAACATTGATGGTTGGAGAGCAGATATTGGGGGCCCAAAGTGCCAAAGCTGGAGACTGGAAATGGAACTGAGACAGATAGGAGACTAGGCATACCAGATGCATCCCAGAACCCAATTACTTCTGGAATCATCTTATCAAGGCCCTAATTGCTCTAAGAATGGAACCCTGAAAATGATAGTTTCCTATAAGGCAATCTCATTTATTTCTAACAGTGTCCTTTAAACAATGCAATTAGAGCCTCTCCGGTGGCACAGTGGTTGATCACTGGGCTGCAAAGCTGCCTGCAGCCTCTGCAGCACTGGTTCGATCCCCAGCTGCTGGGTGAGGGTCCCACATAGCGCGCAGACCTCTCCTGCCGCCCGCTGCTCCCCTCAGCAGTGTACTTCGTCGGTCTGCCTGTTCTGTTCCCTGCTCTGGCTCTGGTGAATTCTCTCACCCTCCTGCACTTCTGACTGTACCCAGTTCTTGCATAAACAAACAAACAAACAAACAAACAAATCTTTAAAAAAATAAATAAAAAAATAAACATTGCAATTATATAACATTCTTCAAGGTTACAGAGAGCTTGCACAGGCATGAGCTTACACACACACACACACACACACACACACACACATACACACACAATTATAAAAAGTTAAGACTCGGCTTGTGGCGCTGAGTTCCTCCTCTCTCTAAAAACAGGACACTAGCTCTCACTGAGTCTGGAGGATTGAAATTCAAGGTCAATCAGCAGAGCACCAGGCTATTGAAGTGTTCGAATAGCCTAAGCCAGTAAGAAACAGTGGCATTTTGAAGGCACAATAATGAAACTCAGTTTCCAAGAATATAATTGAAAACCAGCATCTTAGGAGTCCTCCCAGATATATTCAGTATGGTACTTGAAAGTATCACAACTATAAAGCATCATATCCTTTACTACATTTCAGCATGTTTGAACATATTTGATCTCAAAATTCTATGAGACTGGGAAAATTCAGCAACATACGGACCAGCCCTTGAACATGGAATACCACTTAGAGTTTAGAAAAACACTCACACATGCCACACTCATTCTATCCTGAACCAATCCTGTGAGGTAAGCAGAATAGGACCTTAAGAGTGAAAATGACATGCATTTGCAGAATGTTGCCTTCATTGTTAGAGAGAAAGTACAGTTCTTCACCCTCCTCCCTACCCCCAAGATTGAAACCCACTATATTTATTTCTTAAGGAGGTATAGTTGAGTACAATGTTGAACCAAGAACTATCCATACTGATGTAAAATTTAAGGAATTTTGTTTATATCATACATAGTTCTTATTTAATCAGTCATTAAAAATCACTAATAACTAGAATGACTTCCTATTATTCCTTTTTTAAATTAATTTTTAATTTTTTTATTTTTAAACAATATTTGCTTCCCCCACCCCCTCAGATTGAGTCACTATAGAATTTCCTTCCCCAAGGCACCTGTGCACCATCACCACAGTCCCCTGTTCTCCCTCCCTCCCTCTGATTCCTCTCCCTCCTCCTCCTGTGCAGTATGTCTCTGATTTATAATAGTCTGTTTTTGCTTTGTTGTGTTTTGTACTGTTATTATTTTTTTTACACTAATGTCTTATTTGGTTCCCCTATATTCCTGTTATAAGTGAAACCATCCAATATTTTTCTTTTTCCTTCTGGCTTACTTCACTGAACATAATTCCTTCTAGCTCCATCCACATTGTTGCAAATGGCATGAGTTTATCTTTTTTGATTGCTGAATAATATTCCACGGTGAATATATACCACATCTTCTTGATCCAGTCATCTATTTTTGGGCATTTCGGTTGTTTCCAGGTTTTAACAAAGAACTATCCATACTGATCTAAAATTTAAGGAATTTTGTTTATATTATACATAGTTCTTATTTAATCATAGAGTCATCAAAATCACTGATAACTAGAATGACTTACTATTATTCCTTTATTTATTTATTTGTTTATTTTATTTATACAAGAGCTGGGGTACGGGCCAGATGTGCGGGAGGGTGAGAGGATTCACTAGAGAGAGAGAGCAGGGAACAGAACAGGCAGACTGACGAAATACACTGCTGAGGGGAGCAGAGGGCAAGATAGGAGAGGTCTGCTCACCGTGTGGGTTGCCCCGAGACCAGCAGGGATCGAACTGGCACTGCAGAGGCTGCGGACAGCTTCACAGTGCTGCGCTCAACCGCCTGCGCCACCAGGGATGCCCCCTATTATTCCTTTTTAATAAATGTCACTAAATATCTTCATTCACCAGCAAGACTTTCAAACTGACAAATTGCACCCAGTCATTTGTGCCTCAAACATATCTAGTTTCTCTTTTGTAGTTTTAGAATAAACAACTAGAGAGAGTTGGGAGGAAAGATAGTTAAATACAAAGCTGGGAGCTGGGTGGGTAGAAATAAGTGAGTAAAATAACTCCAGGCAATTGCTTAACACTTCTGGTACTTCAACTTATTCCTAGGGAGTTCAAGGACTCAGTATTTCTACACCCAACATTTACTTTTCAGCAGTCTTCAAAATAGTCATAAAAGTCAGAAGGTGGAGGAGAAAGGTTAGTTTAAAAAGTTCTACAATTCCTTTATTATCTTTTAATAGAGTGGGGAAAACCTGTAAAAGTCATAATGCTATACAGAAATCCCAAGTTCCTATTCAACTACACATCCAGGCAATTATTATTCACTAAAAAGTGCACCAGCTGTGTATTAGGTGCTATTCACCAGCTATTTCAAAGTTTTACTTAAAATATTTTCTTTGAAATAGATAATTCCAATTTTTGAATGAGTAATTTATGATTGAAAAATTGAAAGTATATAGTGAAAAATCTTTCTGACATTCAATTTCCCACCCCAGAGGGCACTAGTATCTAACAGTATCTTTTATATAGATATGGAGGGATGGAAAGAAATAGTAAAATATACTCTTATTGACTCACCCAATTTTTCACAAAATGAAAGTCATTTTATAAATGAAATGCTAAGTACTGCTCTAGCCTTTTATCCTTTACTTCCTATATTTTCAAGATTTCAAAGTGTCTAAAGGGATTATTTCTTTACATGACTGTATATTATTTTATTGTATGGATATACCATGATTTGACTAGTTCATTGCAGAGAGCATTGTTTTAAATTGTTTGCTGCTATAAACAATACTGCTATGAATTATCTCTTATATGCATCATTTTGGAGCATATTATATATAAGGTAAGCTCTTAGAGTAGGACTGTGTTTGTATTTTGTAATTTGATAGACATTGCTAAGTGGCCTTTCTCATTGAGTGTGTGTTGATATTAAGCTTTCAATATTTGCTGATTCTCAGCACACTCAAATTGTTTGTTTTGGAAGTAGTCCAAGGTGAAATTATCATGCAATCCAAAACATGGGAGCACATTTCATCACACATTTAAGAATCCTCATATTCTTAAGATCAGTCTACAGAAAATAGAACTGAGTGCCCAAACAGAATTAATACAGGACATGACTCAATTGGAATAGAGATTGGTGATATTCCAACCAGAAAGTATCATTACTTCTCTGACTCGATTCAACAGTCTAAATAAATGCTTTTAGCAATGTTTCAGCAGAGATACATACATGAGTCTTAAACATTGCCTAGAAATTGGCATTACACTTTCTTTGATTCTGGCTGCTTTTAAAGTCCATTCATAAGTGGCAGTGGATTCCAGCTCCCTCATCTCAACTGGCAAATATGTCTTTCTGCTATGTTTGTAGAAGAGATTGAACTTGTTTTAACCCAAATACTCAATATGCAGTTGCTCCAACGTCAGAAGTACTTTTAAAGATTCCATTCACATATCAGTTTTAAAATTCTCCCAAATTTGGAATTTCAGCATGTATATTTTAAGGCCAAAAATCTTAAGCAGACTTCCTGTCTTTCAAGTTCATGTGTTTTCTTTGGAAACAAGGATGTCATGGCAGTTACTAGCAATAATGATGCCTGCTTGTTCTTTCAGAGAAACATTATGCTCTTTATATTGAAGAGATTAGGAACTCTCTACACATCCTGGACCACGTTCAACTACTACAGAGAAAGTCACATTTGCAGTTGTGAGAAGAGCTTAGTGGTGAATCCATAGACAAACGTAGCAACATTCTCATTTCAGGACTGGCATCATCTAAGTTGGTGCGCTCGTGCCTGCCTGCTGCAAGAACACCTCTGTTCCTAACTCCGTTGGTATGGCTTGTGTATCTTCTACCTCACTCATAAATCATTTTGCTCAGAAGCCTGATTCTGGGCTAGCAATGAGCTTTGAGAATCTTGAGTTTTCATTTGTACTATGGATATATTCCTGCAGCATTTTAAGGACATGAGCAAAGTTACTTTTTCCATGGTGTTCCCAAGGCTAGGGATAAACAGTTTCAGTGGTGTTGCCTTAGCTCTGCCCTAATGTATTAATGCATCAACATAGTCAGTACAATGGTCTTTATTTAACTGCTAAACAATGGAATTAGCCACGCAATCTTTAATTACTCTGCTTTCTGACTGACTGACCAGGTCACTTTCACCAGGACAGTAACAAATCTAAGAAATATAATCTAATATAACCTAACAAACAAATCAACTGGAAAATATCTCCAGTGACCCAGTGACAGCATAGCTTTCTTTTTTAACTCACTTAAATTTCATTTTGTTTTTCAAATGTTGTTTCTTCACCCCTTTCCTCAAGGCACCTGGCTTCCCTGGCTAGAAGTAAATGTCACCATTTTTTTAGTGAACCCTTCCAGAAACATTTTGTGCATATACAAAGAAGTACATCTCCAAACCAAAGCACATGCAATGATATACTTTAGTGTTCTTTCAGCAGTGTGCTCAAATAGCTGCTATTATGAAGTTGCTTTGGAGCAGACAGGCAATAGCCAAGAAGATTATACATGTCTATTAAAAGTTATATGTTAAGTCAATACATTTCCTATGAGAAAGAGTCCTAGGTCCCGTCCTGGGATTTTGGAAATTCTTGTTATGAGGAACCCACTTATAAGATATCTCCTAGGTGGCCATATCCTGGGGAGACAGAAAATGATTTTATTGTGAAAACTCTTAATCACATACAAAAATTAAAAGTTTTATTCATTATTAACCTGTATCCAACCTTGTTAACTATTTCAGAGGGTAGACTTTTCTAATATTTCTCCCAAAGCTAGACCCTTATTTGGGATCTGTCCCACAATCACTCTCTTTCCTCTCAGACGGGTCACTGTCACTACCCTGTGCTATTTGGCAGCTTTCATTATTGAGAATTTGCTCCCCAAGTAGTTAGAAAACCAGAAGTGATCCAACAAAAGGTTTAGAAATGAGGATGATGGTACAGAGAACTAAGAACCAGTCCACACAAAGGGCTTATTAGGGTATCCTTTGTTGCATGCAGACTTTTGGAGAGAGTCCCCTTCTCCTTTTACCCAACTTAAACAGGCTGGTCATAGCAGGTCTCCTGCTTCTTTGCCACAAATATACCATGTAGGAGATCTTTGGCATTTCATATATTTTTAATGGTCTATTAAAATCAGAGGCTGGTTCATAAAAGTCCCTGGGACTATTCCTATTCCATATAATAGGAGAGGTAAAAATGAGTGACTGAAAACAGGATGGAAATTAGAAATTTAAACACACACACATTGCAGTTACCCCTACAGATAGGCTAGGTTAGGGAAGGGGATGCTTACATCTGTAGCTAGAATACAGAAATACATGTTTAATGATGCCCGTTGGGGGCAGCACGTGTCATGGGCAGGCCTCCAGAAAGAACTAGGATGCTACCACAATAGCACCAGAATCCAGATCCCACTCATGTGCTGCTTAAGCACTCACATGGATACCAGAGTTGAAGAGGTGTGTGCTAGCTTAGTGAGATTTTACGAAGAAGATAACTTGCACGATTGAATTACTTCCTTTTACCACTCCTGATAAGTTATAATGGGAATTAGTTCTCTCTGGAGTCCAATTTTTTCAAGATATGTACTGGAATAGGGTAACTCTTAGAGATTCACCCAAAGCCTGAGTAGTCACCTTAGGGAAAGGAAAGTGTTTCCTGGACCACTGGGCTTAAGTAAAAGAAAGAAGCAAAGGGCTACTTACCAGAGAGAAAAAAATCCTGAAGACATCAATTCCCACTGTAAAAGCTTTCCAAAAGGGAATCTTAAGCCAGAATGGTCTGGGACTAGAAACAGCTAAGGAATGTATGTTCTGCAAGACAAAAAAAATGTCCAGGTAGAAGTAAATGAGAATAACTGACTCAAGAAGTATCAGAGAAAGGTTGTCTGGAAAAAGAGACTCTTAAACATACAATTAAAATGTTTCTGCATGGCAAAAGAAACTGTCGCCAAAAGAAAAAGATACCCCGTGCAAAGCAAAAAATATTTTCACATCATCCATCAGATAAAGGACTGAAATGAAAGGTTTACAAATAACTCATACACCTCTAGGAAAAGAAAACATAACCCAATTAAATAATGGGCAGGAGAGCTAAATAAACTCTTCTCCAAAGAAGACATACAGATGGCCAATGAATATATGAAAAAATGTTCATCACGCTTGTCATCATAGAAATGCAGATCAAAACCACAATGAGATACCATCTCACACCTGTGAGAATGGCACATATTAAAAAAACTAGCAACAACAAATGGTGGCGAGGATGTGGAGAAAAAGGAACACTACTATACTGGGAATGTAAACTGGTCCAACCCTTATGGAAAACGACATGGGGTTTTCTCAAAATCATATGGAGGTTCTCAAAACTTCAAATGGATCTGCCATATGACCCAGCAGTTCCACTCCTTGGTATCTATCCAAAGAATAGAAAAACACCAACTTGAAAGGAAATCTGCACTTCTGTGTTCGTTGCAGCACTTTTTACAACAGCCAGAATATGAAAATAGCCTAAATGCCTATTAAACAGATGAATGGATTATGAAAATATGCTTATGAAGATACTTACGATGGAATTCTACTCAGAAATCAAAAACGATAAACTCATGTCATTTGCAGCAACAAGAATGAAGATGGAAGAGATAATGCTAAGGGAAATAAGTCAAAGAATAAATACCTGATGGTGTCACTAATAAGTGGAATATAGAGAGAGACCAAACTAGTAACCAGAGAAAGACAACCTTAAAAGCTGACCCTTGAAAACTGACTAAATAACTGAAGCAACCAAAGCAGGTGAAGGGGTGGGGGAGGGCAGGAACCAGGAGGGAAGGAAGCACAATGGCCTATGGTGGTGGATTAGGGCAATATGGTGGTGACATCTGATGGAGAGAATCCTAATGTTACCCCAATTAAAAATAACTAATCAGTTAAAAAATAGAGTATTCACAGATATCTCTAGACTGACAGTAAGAATCACTATAACTGCAGATTTTTTTAAAAAAAGATTTATTTTTACTTATTTATGCATACGAGAACTGGGGTGCAGGCGAGAAGTGCAGGGGTGTGAGAGGATTCACCAGAGACAGAGTGGGGAGCAGAACAGGCAGATTTCCTGAAATACACTGCTGAGGGGAGCAGAAGGAGAGGCAAGAGAGGTCTGCTGTCCCATGTGGGTAGCTCCCTGGCCAGGGATAGAACTCAGGCTGCAGCAGCTGTAGACAGCTTGATAGAACTGAGACTTTAACCCCTTTGCCACCAGGGAGGCCCTATAACTGCAGCTATTAAGCCAAATCACTATAACTGCCACTTCTTGGAAAATGTCAGATTCTTCATTAGTGCTCATTGGAGTCTTATTAAATAAACTTAATCTGGGGGGAAGCAAGGAGTTGGCTTAAGGGTAGCTTTAATATAGAAATTAGAACTTGCTGATGATTCAGAGAGCAATGACATTCCTCCAACAGGTCTATTTACTGGCAATACCAACCACTGCCTAACTCTGGGCTAAAGTAAAAAGATCAGACAAATATTTATTCATGAAAGAGATACTAATTATGAAACGAAATTATGATCTTGTTAGCACAGCTCAAGCTATTCTAGCCAAAGTTATTTTGTGACCTTGAATTCAATATTACATGAACTAATTCCTTATCCTTGAAGTGTTTGACAAGTAAGGGTGGGGATTTATATAAATGATCCATTCTTCATTGCATCTGTTTAAGGGCCTTGCTCTTTTAAGTTTTGAATTCTGAGAGCAGGGGTTTCTCCAACATCATAGTTGAATCAACCTAGATTTTTTTTTTAACCTACCTTTTTCTATAAGAAAAAGCATCTTCCAACAGTCTTCCACACTATTCTTCTCTAGTCATTGAAGTTTTTAGCAGGTGGTTTTATGTGAGGTTCAGAAACTATTTAGCTGATGCCTAGCATAGTTATTCCACCTCTATATATCTAGTATCAAGGTTTTGCCACATCTCTAGTTAATGGAGATCAACATCAGTCAGCTGTTCTCTGTTGACTGACAGCTTCCAGCCTCTTCAGATTCTTGCCTAACAACATTCCACAGCTGCTTCAGTCATCTTTGGGGAGGCTGGTGGCTGTGATCTTTGAACTGTCAGTTTTCAATGAGGGTGGGGGAATAAGGAGTCCTTAGGTAAATATTTGGTATCGGAGCTGGGGCAGTTTCTGTGGCAAAACTGACTTTCTTACTTGAACAGATGCATTTTGCATCAGCCTCATGAATACATCACGTTCCCTGATCAACTTCGCTAATAAGACGCAGGGCAGTGACCACAGCTGCCATATCCAGTAAACCAGGCGGGTAATGTTCCACATTTTCAAATGTTCCAATTTTATCAACAATAAAGAAGGTGACAACAGACATTAGGTCATTTCCCTCCTCTTTAATCATTCTGAGCAGAACTCATTTATACTGTAAAAACAAAAAAATGAGAATATTACAAGTCCACATGGTTCCTCAGCTAAACACACTGACATTCTCTGAAGGCTGATGTCTTGGGAAAGTTTTGTCTGATAATGCTAACCTGTTGCTTTAGTGACAAATTCTGAAGTCAACCCAGCAGCCTTTGGTTTCTGATGTGGATTCAAAAATAACCATTGATATGGGGGACCCAGAAATAAATCTTGATCTTCTGTCCTCTGGTCTCAGAGTTGGGTAGACTGGGGCTGCAAACAAGATGTGATTTTCAGAATTTTCAATTTATAGTCATTCAGCCAGACTTGACCAAGTTGAAGTGAGTTATGACCCTTTGGTTGAATAATGTTTTAGCCTGGCAGTGCATGTTTCTCTTTGCTGCCTTGCCAAGTGGTTCCTAAAAATATTTGAGCCTTTATAGCAGATCTACCTAAGTGTCCTAT